TTGTTCCATTTTCGTTACATCGAAAATTGAATGACCATCTTCGGTTTAAGAAAATTGGTCAGTACATACGGATAGCAGATTAAAACTAAATGCAAGGGATGAAGGACATGCGCAGAAACGGACACTTCTTACGCTTCCATGATTTGCAGCATGAAAATAAAATGGTAACATTATTCCATATCCGATATTTCTTCGAAATTGGAATCAGATATGGAATGGCGGATACATATTTGTTCACTGATGATGAACCGTGACAGTTTGGTCGAATCGTGGATCGGTGCTAAAAACGCACTTTTCTCGACATTTAGTTTGCTGGCATATGGCACCATATGCTTATGAGTTTGAGAGGCCGTCGTCATATGAGAAAAGTGACGACGATGGTCAATATTTTTGATGGCAGAGGTTTGAACATTGTTCTGTAGTGTCGATGAAAACCCAAAGCTGTGATGTCCGTGCCTGCTGGAGTGTAACCGAGACAGATGAGGAAACCAATTTATCTGGGGATAACTTTCACGAGTGACTAAAAGCAATATCTCGAAACATGCGCCCGAATGGGTCACGTGAGCGTAATAATGCGACCACCAAAACTGGTCGGAAATCATGCAGAGCAGAGCAGCAGTACCTGGCTATCTTTCCTTTGGTTTATCTACGCCCCGACCATAACTTATGGTCGTGAATGCTGCGTAATAACAGAAATGTTTCGATTTCTGACCCACCAGCGGTGGTAGAAGCCTGGCTCCTAAGAAGCAAGGATCGACGATGACCCGGTGCCTGAAGCTTAAGAACCGAACAATACGGGTTGTACTCGCGTGAGACTCGTTTTTAATTTGGATCGAGGGATCACAGAGGGAGATTATTATGGCATGTGACAGGATGGTAAGGGACGAACTCAAAAGCGTAGAACTGCCTTAAATAATAAGCAACATGGGAGATAACTACGGAAGAACACGCTGAGAGCTGGATGGCTCATTTGCTCCTCAGATCCAGTTCATGTAGCCTGATCGATTATTGGACAGCTGTAGCTAATGGAAACATTTCTTCAAGCGGATGTCGCTGCGACCCATGAGAACCAGCGTGCTTGGAAAATGCGGGACTGAGAGAACGAATTAATTAATGAACGAACCGGGCTGATGGATCTCTCCGATTCGATTCGAGTCATGTTTTACGAAGACGTTATGATTCGTTATTATAATTGAGCGTACGTTGGAAAAGGCGAAATACTTCGTGGCTGGGGTTCATCAATGGGGCGAACGGTAACGAAGCAGCAGAGTCAGGCTAGTCGACATGTCGAAGCCAAGTGTAGCACTCGGACTGGCTTTTGACGGTGCCGGTCATGGGACAGAAGCTGAAGCAGTAGAAATGGTACGCGGAAGAACGCTGCTGGCTGTAGCTTGTTGCAGCTATGATAAATCAACTCAATGCCAGCTGGGTTCCCTCCGTCTAATAAGAGTGATCTGCGAAACATACGCTTAGCCGGTCTTGAGGTACATGGCATCCGCAGAGCGTCCCTGGAGAGCTTGAAGTTGAAACTTTCTTGAAGGTCGCACAACTTTCATTCAACAATAATTTGACGAGTCATGGATCAAAATTTGAACTGCCTTTTCGTTGGGATTTTCAGGAGCGGAATTAAACGATTCTGATGTAACGAATCTGAGCAATGATGGCGTTCAGGTTTTGTCAGCTTCTGGTGTCGAATAGAACGGCAAGAACAGGAAGTGTCAATCGCATAAGTAGGCTACACGACTCTTTCGTTACACAGCAGATAAGATCAACAATAACCGATGTCGAACGTGGCACACGACTCTTTCATAGAAACGATCTCACGCCTTCAGCTCTGTTCAGCACACCGTCTCGAAACGGCAATGCTACCGTAATAGTGAAAGCACTGGACAGGATTTTGGCGATCTGCATAACCTTGGACCAATGAAAGAAGCGATTGAGTGAAAACGTTTTCGCTTGAAATTCACGTGCCACGACGTATGAAAGAGGCGATTCGCCAGACTGGCTGTCACGTCAAAGTCATAGGGAAATCTTCGAACGATTGAAGCTGTGGAGCAGAGGACTCGAATCGACGTGCCTTTGAATTCAGCCCATGGAGCTCACCTCTGTTTGGTGGAGGAATGGAGCTTTTTTTAAATGCATTGTTTCCAAAGCTGCGACCCCACCGGTATGCATGATAGCGGGGTATTGAAAATGAAATAAATTCAATATGTGCAACACAGTAGTAGAGATCTAGACTTGATTCAATTTGTCGAACTAAGTCATTTGGCAAATGAAAGCTGACAGGTGCGTTAGCATTTTTAATTTGCGTATATGACTTGATGCTTTCTGCCTTGAGCAAAGCGATCTCTATGTCACTGCGAATATCTCGACTAATTAATGTCCTCAAATGCTTCGTTGGATCCGCTATCTGACTTGAATTCCGCTCTGGTGCACCATGAACGCAGTCGACGCTCTTACAGTATTCTCTCATCTCCGCTTTCTAAGTAACTTGATGATCAGATCTTTCCAGCACACTCTTTGACGATCGATCTGTGGCTCATGGTCTAGTGACAACCAGTTCGTAATTCTTCACATCCACCAGCTGTGTTTCAGGCGAACCACATGACCGCCCTTCTTTGCTCCTTCCCTTTTACTTCCTTTCAGACGTTCGTATAACTGGTTTGGCCACCCTGAGGAGTAATGAGCAGCAGCTTCTTAACTCCGCCGAAATGCGAGTGCTCAGATGGAAGCGTGGTGTCAGAAAGACTGCATCTGAAATGGCTTCCCAAGAGGTCCTTTAGGTGCATCATGTCTTGTTACATCGGCTACCATCTGATCGGAGGCACACTCCGTTGGTTCACAATTCAGTAACGTCGAGGGGAAAAGATCTGTCGCGTTTGTTGAAAATTCTGTGCAACCACCGATACTGCCTGCGAAGCAAAGAAATGGAAAACCAGAGAAGAGTTTCGGCGATGACGTAAAGAACGAACCATGTGAAACTGTGGTGAGTGACCGGTGGTTACGAGGACCCAAAATTAGAAGACTGTGCACGAGTCCACTCGAACGTCAGGCATGTGTCAAGAGGAGCTGGCTGGAAAGAAGAATAAACAGGAATGTTTCAATATTACATGTTTCCGTGTAAATTATTCAACATTATGCGAGTGGTCGTCAGAAGCACTATGAACGTTAGGAACGTCTTATTTAAAGCAACCAAGAAACAAGTTGAGTGGCAAAGAAGACTAGTGAATTACCTTGAAAAACTGATGACTGTTCCTGGCATGTTCAGCAAGGATTTCAGTGGCTATGAGGATTTGGTCAAACTGATCTACAGTCAATATTTAGGCCATATTTATGTCACCGGTCATTATCACGAAAAATGCTGAATTGAAGACAGCTGAACCTGAAAACAGCTTTCAAGCTTATGTAGTTCAGTCGCTCGCTTGGCGCCATTAGAACCTGTTATGGGTTTAATTGGCATATCTGACTGCAACGTTGGACGTGGGTCGAATTCGGAAAGCATCACTTATCCTCTTTGTGTTTGCAACCACTAAAATTTTTAAAGACTAATTAGACCCACCCTCCTTGCCTA